TCTTTCCAAAATATTTGAAATTCCCAATCAGGTCTAGCTGCATGACATTTTACTTATTTTCTCCTAGCTTTAACACTAGTTATCTTCAAATTAGTGACCATAAGTCTAATATGTTTGCACATGTATGTATACATGTTACTATCACTGGGATTAAAAACTAATGATAATATGATACTAAAATCCTTTTTGTTCCTTGGCATGTAACTTGTATACTGAGACTATAATAATAGACTTCTGTCCAGAAGCAGTTGTCTTCATTAAAAACTAAATTTTTGGCAAGTACTTCCATACAACATGTGATACAAAACTAGACTTTCCCTAAAATCAGAAGTAATTGTGTAGTAAGTAATTACTGTTGTCTTGTTCAGTATGTCATCTATGCCTCATAAGGAATAGTGCCAAATTGCAAATGATAAATACATATTCAAAGACATCCCAGACCTGAAGCTTTCCTTTGAGATGATGCTGTTTTGCTTTTTTGTGCTTTTTAGATAATTATCAAAATCTCAAGTCAAATAATTTTACAGATTTTAAAACCTGAGTAGCTTTTTTCCTAAAAGACATAATCCAAAATACCACCTACTCTTTCAATGCAAGCATCAGTCACCAGTAGCCAAGTTGGAATCAGAATAAAAATGCACTGTTCTCCAAATACTAACTTAAATTTACTGAAACAAGTACTGACCAAGTTAAACAAGCAAATGGTGGTTTGGGGGTACCAACTGATAGATGAGTTCCTCATTTGTTCTGTAGGGCTCAGGGCAGCATTCAAAATTTTGTTTCTCTTTTCTTCATTTTTAAATGAAACCTTTTTTATCCCTCTGGTTCTCTTATCTATTGATGTAACTGGCGCTGCATGAGAAATTACCTCATTTCAATGGCTGGAGCCAGTTTTTCTATCAGCTGCAGTAAGGTTTCCTCATTTATTTAATGAGCCTGGATAGGTGGGAAATTAAGTATTAGGAGCTGCAGATGAAGAAAACTAAACCAGAATATTCTGTTTATTAGGGTGATTTTTTTTTAAAAAAAAAAAAAAAAAAAAAAAAAGCTTGTATTAATATAACCAGTACATATAATTGGTATTTGGATTATGGCATGATTATTACTCTGCAGACAGGGGACTCCGTTATCACTCAGTCATCAACGAAGTAGCTGCATTCTGTGCTCATCTCATCTCTGAAGCTGAAAGAAGAGCTAGTTATTATCTTCAAGTGGGGTTATTAATGAGGGGGAAAATCATCCCCAATTACTGTGAAGCAAAATATTTCAACATTTACATATCTGAGACTTTAATTTTGATCTAGTCCTTCATGAGTTCTTAAGCTCAGATTGTGTTCACTCTTCCAAACGTCCCCAGAGCAACATATCGAGGGGAACTTGTACCTGTCCAAGTGATGGCTTCCCCAGGTGTATGCTTCAGGGTCACAGAAATGCTGCCCGTCCCATCCTTGTGCTGCCAGAGACTGATTTCCACTGAGATTCCTTCGTGCTACACTGCAGGAACAGAGTCTCATGCATAGGCTTTGCTAGAGAAGTAAGAAATTCTGACCCGCCTATACGTCTGTGTTCACAGTCTTTTTTTTCTTAACTAGAAACAGCCTGGGATTTTTTTGAAAGAGCTGATTTCACTCTTTTGCTTTTTTTTGAACACGGTATTGGTTTGGAAGTTTTGACTCTGAACCTCCTAGAATAAAACCTGAGCAACACAAAGGTGATGATTTAGATTCAGTTAAACATGTGGGCAGTAACCGGGAGATGGGAGAAGTGCTGTCCGTACTGTGAATCCATCCGTCAACACAGATGCGAAGGTCTGACCTTGGCAGGTTCAGGAGGTAGGGGCGTCAAACACAGTTTGCAGTCAATTGGAAATGTAGCTACTAGACAAAGGAAACTCAATAGTTACACAGCTGTTTCAGCAGATTACAGATTTCCTAGAAAACAATAAAACAGTCGTCTGTGAACGGAAAAAGTAAACCATCTTTTTTTTTTTTCATTCAAGAACTTAATTCCTGAAAGTCATCAGATATGTCCTCTGTAAACTTCTTATCTCTTTTCAAAACCCACGGAGTCTGTAACCAATCGGTGTAGATTTCTCTACAGCATTTATGCCCGTTAATGCCTCGTTGATTTACAGTGAAACTGCTGAAGAAAGGACTGTCTTGGACAGCCATATAAATATTAAATTAATTTCTTGTGAAGGATGGCTGCTATTACACTAAATATTAAATGAATTCATAATACTTGGACATTTGCAATAAATCACTACTGGGACTGCATACTAACATCCCATTCCAAATCTTTTCTTTTTTTTTTTTTAATATTAAAGCCATGGAAAAGGACCGGTTGCTCTCAAAGAAACGTACAGCTTTCTAACGCTGGAGTCATTAACGAATTCCCGCAGCACAAAGAGGAGTTTTAACTTTGTCCCGTTTTACAGATGGGAGGAGGCATGAAGGGGTTTAGGTTGAACTGCTGATCACAGGAGGTTCTAACCCAATCTGTTTCTCATGAGAGACATCACAGTAAATTATCAGCTCCTGACAGTCCTTGTTTTGCTTGAAGTGCTCTGAGCAGCGTCAGCAGAGGATTTGGCAATGTGATACCAGAAGGCTGAGAGCATTTGCCAGACTCAAAGGGAGAAAGAGCTGGATGTAATGTCTAATCTCCAGGCACCCGAAGTGGTTAGTATCAGTTCACCTCTAAATATCTTGCCCAAGGCCACGATGGGAAGGATAGGACTCCTCAGGTTTTGACTTAGCAATTGAAGTAAGTCATCTTCTTTCTTTGGAGAACACAGATCTTAGTCTCAAAAGTTTAGTAAAATTCTCAGTGGACTAAGAAGGGCTAAAAATCAATTCTTTATTTTTCCTTTTGTTAAAGTAGAACAAAGGGTATATCAGCAAGTTCATTATAGATCTGTTATCTGAGAGATAGTAGCTGGAGTGCAGAAATTTATGCTAGGGCTAACCGTGTAGAGTAGAAGCTTTTTCTTGTAAACAAAATTGAACGACTGTCAGACTCATCCGCTTTTTAATGTGCAGATGGGTGTGAATATATGCATCTCCTTCATTCCAAAGATTTTTGCTTCTGTGCCTTAAATGGTCTAAGTCACACAAGGTTTTTCTAATGAAAATTTGCCAAGGTATTTAAATTAGAAGCAAAAATTAGAAAAGCTGCTACCACATAGGAATATTAATTGTTCATTATACAGGGCTTTAGTTCACATATTACTTTGCATGTGCAAAGCTGCCAATTAAAGAGGCTCAAAGTGCTCACTGCTGCACAATAGCCGTTTCTCCAGAGCCCCACAATGGCTATTGTATTCTGTCACTGACCTTTAGACACCTTCAAATGCATATTGACACAGTATGCTGGGATCATTAGAGCTATTGTCTCAGTGCACCACAGGGAAAGGAGAGTTTTGCAATTTCTTGAAGAGCTTTAAAATTTGATATAATGATGACAGCAGCGATGTTTCTTAATTAGAGAGTGAGAGAAAAACTGAAGTATTTTTCTGGTGCTTCAGGTGAATTCCAGCATGTCCATTTACCACAGTTCCCACAACGGTCCCTTCCCATGGTTCTAAGATGTTTATCAGGGGCATTTGGTCTGCTTTTCTATTGTTTCCAGGGAAATTTATTTAGTGTTTTTGACCTGATGGTGCCATATGGCCAGCCTCCCTTAGCTTCCATGGATTCTGCCTGGATGAACATCTTGGCAGGATGGATCCTTTCATCCTGTGAGTGACAAATGCCCTGTTAAACAGAGCGTATAGTTGGAACCGGTGGTATGCAGGAGACTGGGATCTGGAAGTGTAGTTCAGAGACTGCTCTTCAAAGATCAGTGGATGTTGTCTCTGTGAATACAACTGTGCTTCATTTTAGCTCTTCTGTGTCTTAACATCTAAGGTACTTCTGTTTTCTTACCAGTCTGTGACAGCTAAAGAGTGCAAACAAGAACTTTGGGAGCAGAGATATCAGATACTCCAAGTACATTTACTGTGGTAAATCTGAGCATCGTCTAAAATCTTATAGTTATTTCATTGTAGCCCTCCTATTCTTTAGAGCTGCTTTGAGAAATTACTTCAGCAGTCAGCACATAAAAGAGCATAATTTTAAATGTTGCATGGGACATTTTGTCTATAGAGAATAAATAAATAAATTATTGGCTTGTATTTCCAAATAGTGTTGTTGCTTGAAGATAAAGAGAGAGTTTCTGTTCCATAAGTATTGCCGCTGCCGGGTTCGTTTTTATCCCCTGGGACCCTATTATAGAACAAATTATCAGATATAGCTGAACTTCACAGCCTTGCGTCTCTGAAGATAGTCTTGAGTAATGGCTTGCACTTCTGACAGAAGAGGAAGAAATTTAACAGACCTTTTGCAAAACTTCTCGTGTCATTAAAAAAAAATGGGGTATTTGCTGCACAGCGTCGCTGGTTGCAACTCTAGCCTAGTGCTGTGCAGCATATACCAGAGGATGACCAGTTTCTGCACATGATCTCTCTACCCAAAAAACTTTCTAGCTGAAGGACATAATATCTGGTATTTGTGTGTGCTTGAGGTAGATGTGCAGCAGGATTTCTCACACTAATATAGTATGCACCAGGTCAGATGTGTTTCTTCAGTAATTTAGGCTGATTTTTTTTTTTCACATTAATTTAGAGGGTGACTTTGTCTTGTTTTCACTCCTCTGTATCAGAAAGTCTTGTAGAACTTTGAAACCTCCCATGCATGGCCACTGCAATTGCCAGTTGTGAATTTTGTGGTCTGTCTTCAAACATCAAGGTGATACCTTTACCTTAATACACGAGGAAAAGTGACCCACTTCTGGGAGGGAGACACAAATAGGTACAGCCACGTGATGCAGGATGTGAAAGGGAGTCATGGCAGTTTTGGCAGCTTTCCTGCCACACAGGAAATTTTGAGATTTTCCAAAAGAAAAACAAAGGGAGTTGGTAAATCTGCTCACTGCCTATATTTTGTTTGGTTCCTTTGCAGAAGGAGAAGAAGAGCGGGCTGCTGAAACTTCTAGCAGGAGCATCAACAAAAAAGAAGTCGCGCTCCCCACCATCCGTGTCCCCCACACACGACCCCCAGGCAGCCATCGAAGGAGTCCTGCAAGGGGCAGTGGGACCCGAGCTCTCCTCGCTCTCCAGCCACGGCAGGGCTGGCTCATGCCCTATTGAGAGTGAAATGCAGGGAGCCATGGGGCTGGAGCCTCTGCACAGGAAAACAGGCTCTTTGGATTTGAATTTTTCCATCCCTTCCCCTGCCAGGCAGCCCCTCTCTTCCATGGCAGCTATTCGGCCAGAGCCCAAGCCTTTGCCCCGGGAAAGGTAAGCTGTGCATCTCCTGAGGTCACCTGCATGCTCAGGGGGAATTTGGAGGAGGGCTGCAAGTTTACACTTGCTCAAGGGTTTTGCAGTTTTGCTGCTCTGTGGATAGACTGTAGGTGGCTCAGCTGCCTTTTAGGATGACAGGGATTACGTGCACCTGCCCATTGAAAATCATTTGACACACAGCGCAGGTTTCGTGTTTGTTGATGAAAAAAGTGATGAGCAGCACGTGTCCATGACACTGTACAGCCCTGGTCTAAATATGGAGAACAGCAGCACTTTCTTAGCCCAAAGGGTATAAATGCTGTTGGCAAAGGCCCCTTTTTAAGTGGGATCCCTATGTTTTAATAAACTTATGGAGTTGTCATGTGGCACTTCCTGCCTGGGGGCAACAGGGGTGATATGTTTGCTCATGAAAGGCCCTTTCTGGCCTGTTCTGCAATATCAAAGACTGCTTCAAATTCTCCTTGTCTAGGGTACTTACAGGTAGTGCCATCTTCAGTGACCTGTTACCAGAAATGTAGCTCGTTTCTAGAGAGTAATGTACCAGTGGTTTTGCAGTTCATTTCAGCAGCCTGCTCTGCACCTTGGTACCTTAGAGTAATTGACCTTGCAAACCCAAAAAGAGTAGAGTAGGAACACCAAAATACAAAAGCAGATGAGAGAGAGATAACTGACTAGAAACAGGGGTAGAGAAAAAAGCTAGGTCTCGCTGTGCAGAGTCGTATTGGCTTTAGGTAAATATTTTCTACAGGACTGCAGTTTGAGGACTAGGAAGGGAACAGGTAATGCACAGATGTGATGCCATCGAAATGCTTAAATGCTTTCCAATCAAAAAGTGATTGAGGAGAACTTTTTTTAGAAAAAAAAAAAAGCATCAAAGAGTTTTCAAAAAGCTGTCTAGGGAACTCTCTGGTGTTGATATTTGAAACGATTTTGGAACAACAGTAAAGTTCCAGAAGTTTGAAAAAAAATCCTTTTCTCTGAGTGTATGAAGGAGGCTGAAGGGAATGGACTGGGCAAGCCACCTGATCCTGAATCCAGTTGGGGTCATGGAGCAGGTGATGCAAGGCGTAATAAGGACAGTTCATACTTTACACAGTGTTTTACTGAATGCAGGTTGAAATTTGATTGGGAAGGTGGCAATGACACTGTAATGTATTTGAACTTATCTAAGGCATCTGGTTTGTTACCATAAAATGTCTTACTGAATAAACTGTACACAACCGACACAGCAGATAGTGAGTGGATTGAAAACTGGTTCACTGGCATCAAATCTAACTCTAGATCGGAAATCACTGGAAAATGACTGTATGTGTATGTAGTGTAGCCCAACAAGAGTCGGGTCTTGGATCTGCATTGTCCAATATAAAGTCTTTGCTATTGCAGAACAGAGGACTGAAGTGAGAGGTAGGTGATGAAAAGGGCAGACCCATCGGTACACAGCTAGTTCAACGCACTGATAAGGAGAACACAGAGTAACAGTATACTTCAGAAAAGCCATATCTGAGGCAACATGGAGCAGCCTCAAAGAAGCATCATAAGAACAATATTAGATTTAAAACAATATCCTTGCAGTGATACAGGGAGCTCTGGTACACCTGGTAAAGAGCAGGCCTAGGAATGGCTTGGTAACAGTCTGTAAGAGACTGCAGACAGGACAGACATGGGGATATTTTTGCTCTAGATTGGGCATTTTGTCTAAAAGAGATGCTGTTGTTCAAGCGCAGCTATTAGACTTGAAGCAGAAATAAATACAGGCAAGTCCTTCGGCATTGTAATGAAGGCAGTGAGAGCAGACTATCACAGTAGTCTCTTGTCCTTAAAATCCATGAAAAAGCAATTTAGTAAAAGGAGTGAAAAACCAATCCCTATTTAGGCACACTTAATTTGGTCTACATCAGTTTAGATTAATGCTATAAGAAAAGCTAGATCAATATAAACTAGATTTAGCACCAGTGTAACTAAATCAGTGGAATGCTGCACCTTTAGTTAAATGTAGCCATGAAAAGAAGCCAGGAGGAACGTCCCCTGACGACTCCAGAGCTGGCTGTTAAGGTGCTGCTCTCAAACCTTTACTGTAGAGAAGTCCAGACACATTATTTAATATGCCAGGGCTAGTCCCATATCCTACAAATTTCTCAGTTCACCTCAGGATGGTCCGGGTAGTGAAACATTTAACTGATGACAATTTTAAGTGTCATAATGGAACCAGAGGGACAGGGGTTAGCTGCCTCTGCTCAGCCGTGTTGGAATCAGGAGTCAATAGATTTAGACTGCTAAAACTGAGTAAATACTTCCAATTGCAGTATACAGTGGTAAGGAACTCTGATTTTAAGCATTTTAATTCCTGAGTCTTAAATCCGAAAATAAGCTATAATTGAAGTAACCCTAATTATACACAGCAGGCAAGATTCTCTAATTGATTTATGAATTAGCTTCCATATCATTGGTGTATCTGCATTCCTTAACTGATCATATGGGTTTTTTTCATGCCCATAATGGGAAATATTAATTACCTTCATGCACTAGGAAGGATAATGCTTAGTCCTGGAATAATCTGAGCAGATACATTAAACACTTGTCTCCTAGAAATTCATCCCACATCCATCTGTGCTCATTAAATCATCAAATCGCTCAGAAGTACCAAATGATATTATTTTTAAAACAAATTACGGTTTTCAAACCACTTGTTCTTTTCACATCTGGCAGTGGAGGAACTCGCATTCAGCGTCACTCAGCTCCGTATTTTGCTTGTTTGCATTTTGGTGCATTTCATCCGCACAGTAGGAGCAATTCTCTGAGAAAGAAAAGGGAGGAGAGGGAAAAAAAGGTTAGATAAACAGATTCAGATGCTGGATGAAATTTTAAAAAGCTGCAAAGCATTTCAGTGCACTTAGCTGTACTTGGCTTTCTGTCTCCCAACGCCCATCTGTGTGCATAGAGACAGAGCACTGAAAGGTTGGAAGAAGTAGCACATTCCTTAATATTTACGGCATTCGAAATGCGGCTCATGCAGGCAGCGGAGCACCGCTACTTCTCCCGTAGAGGTTGGCTTGCAGCTCCAGCACTCACCACATCCAGGCTACTGATCAAACCCGAGCAGTCATGCCACTGGCCATATCGGAGGTGCATTAAAAGGCTCTGACTGCTCATGGCTCGACGCTCACGATTTAAGGGAAGAATTGCCTATTCCGCTGCCTGACAGCACAGCCCTTTGTGGGAGTTGCAGCCAGTCAGACAGGAAGGTGAAGTGAGCTTTGCCCTCTTGCAGATGCTGCTAATGTTTATGCTCCCGTTCATTTGTTTGTGCGCAGCGAGAGCGAGGACAACAATTGTTTTATCTTGTCCTACTCGGTATTCGAAAACCTGGTTATGGGTGGCTGGAAAGGAAATTGCTCCTAGCTCTCCCGTCATTTAGCCTTGATATTTAACTGGTTTGCTGGGATATTTTCGTGCCCATCTCTGCCTTCTGGGTGTAGTTTCCCACTACTGCTTTATAAAACCAACTTCCTTCAGCTGCTCTCTGCCATAAAGCATCCAGCAGTCCGAGCAGCAGAGTGGAGAAATTTCCCAGGTGGTGTTCTTGTCACTTCGTGTTGCAGTGATTGACTGTCAAGCGAACGCCCCATCAGGCTGTGTTTGCCCCACAAGCTCTTTTCCACCTACTGCTCCATCCAATTTCTGCTGGTGCAAGAAACAGGACCAGTGCAGAGACACGCTGCGGTGAGGCAGAGACTTGCCCACATCCCACTGACACTGTTGGTTCACGTGCGAGAGGGGTGTGCTGTCTGCCTAGCAGCACCAAAGCAAAATACTTTCCTTGCCACCCCCTTCAAGAAAATATGACTGTACATTAAGCAAAACAGGAGAGTTGAGTGTGTGTGTGTGTGAGTCATGTTCCCCTCGCTGCCTGGCACTGTTCCCAGATGCGAACCTGAGTATAACGTGTCACGCGTTGTTGACTCTTTTGTAGTAACTGGCACTAATTCTGCCATGTTATATTCTGATAAAGAGGCCGTATCCAGACTTACTGTCACGACTGGCATATCTGTGCCATGTTTCTATGGTTTTCGTGGAGCTTTCAGGCAAGTTGTAACCAGAACAGTGCTGCAGAATAAGATGAGAGCAGTGAGTTTGACCTTTGAAATAGACCCCTCCATGTTTCCATGTATCCTTTCTACAAATCACTGCCACGTTAGAAATTGAGTTCCCAATTCAAGGAAGCATTCAAGCATGTGCTTAACACCCATTGACTTCAGTTCTGCTGCACACGTATATCTTCTTTGCCAAAGGAAAGCAAAGGAAGGGGTTTTTACTTTCCTGGAAAGTGATACTAGAGAAATGACCCCAGGAGTAAGTTCTGACTGAACAGTGACATGTATGCACATGGTTAAGTGCTTTTCTGACTAGGGATACCTGCCTTAGGACTGAGAAACTAGAATTAACCATCTCAGAAATTGAATCTTGCAATATTCCCAGCAGAAGCGTAAAAGATCCAAATGAGATTTGTTCTTCTAAGGCTGCTGATTCAGACACTGTAATATGGTGAAGTGGGTTCTGGCTTGTAGTGTGCAGAGGCGCTTTGCAGGTCTCTGCAATCTGCCAGTAAAAGGATGGAGAAACAGAACTCCACTGGCAAGCAAGAGCAATGGTTAACTGGGCTAGATGCTTCATGGTCACCAGTTATCTGCCCGGACGCTAAACTTACTGTGTATCCCTAACATGCGAAGGACCTGTCAGAGTCGCGGGACTGGACTCCTGAAACCTGTACTTAGTGCATGATACTGTGACAAACAGAAACTTGCATTAAGCATCCGAATTCAAGTATTCTAAATGGGACTGGATTGGAGGTTAGCCCTGATGACTAATTTGACTCGTTGCAGATTTGTTTTCTTAAATTTCTCTAGCTCCGTTAGTGTCCTGGATGCACATATTTGCTCAGTGAGCAGATACTTGGTATTGTGGAGTGTTTTTCCTCAGCGTCCAGGCCTGAACTC